GTTGTTATTATTATTATTATTATTATTATTATTCATTTTCGAACTGCAAACTACACGCAGTGAATGCTCTTCCAGCCACAACCCAGTACTGAAAAACACACATACACACATACTCATTCACACTCATTCACTACGGACAATATAGTTTATTCAATTCACCTTTATACCACATGTCTTTGGACTGTGGGGGAAACCAGAGCATCCAGAAGAAACCCACACAAACATGGGGAGAACACACATACAAACTCCACACAGAAATGCCAACTGACCTAGCCGGGACTCGAAACATTGACATTCTTGCTGTGAGGCGACATCGCTCACCACTGAGCCACCGTTATTATTATTAATATTACACACTTTTATTTAACAGCAAGACCATGTAAAACATAAGGAAGAATAGAAGACTAAATAGCCACAGTTTAGTCACAGATACTCAATTAGGCCAGGTAAACTACGATGAAGGAGGCTTCGTTTCCTTTTGGTAACACAGGAAAGTGTTTCAAAACAAACACATTAGAGCAAAAGAGAGAGAGAGAGAGGAAGAGGAGTAAACCCCTTATTCAGCTGCTCTGCTCACCAGTCACACCAAGGATCCCAATCAATCCTGAAAATTGGTTTGTTCCCTGACAAGGTTACGAAATGACAGGCTGCTAGAGAGAGGGAGAGAGAGGGGAAGAGAGAGACAGATGGGTTGGAGGAGAGAGAAAGAGAGAGAGAGAGAGAGAGAATAAAAGAGAGATGTTGGTGTTTGTTTACTGACAGGCTGATATCTCCAGCAGGGCTTCAGAGAGTCTCAAAGTTTGGCTGCGTCTGGACTTCTGGCAAAAGAACACACTGCGACACTTATGTTCATGTGTCCATAACTATGTTGCAGTTCCTCCAGGATTTTGTGTGAGTTTTATTATTAGCATTATTATTTTGAGACTAAGGATAGGATGGTTTGAGTCCCGGCTGGGCCAGTTGGCATTTTTGTGCGGAGTTTTCATGTTCTCCCTGTATTCGCATGGGTTTCATCCAGGTGCTCTGGATTCCCCTACAGTCCAAAGACATGCAGTATATGTGAATTGGATGAACTAAGTTGGCCTTAGTGTACAAATGCATGTGTGACTGCTGGAGAGTATGGGTTGTACTGGGTTGCGTCTGGAAGGGCATTTAGTTGGAAAATTAGTAATTGACGGGGTTTTTCTAAAAAAAAATTTGGTAATATTTGTAGCATTTCTTGTGTTGATTTGCAGTGATAATTTACACACGAATGTCACTACTTCAATTTGTTCACTTTGCTGCCGTTCCTACCGCTGCAGCGGCGGTAGTTGGTACGTTTGCAGCTTTTGACCTCTGGGTGGCACTTTAACCACAGATTTTCAGCTTTGTCTTTTCACAATACTAGATGGAGGGTTCTGTATCTGTACCTTAATTGATGTGATGTGTTTGAATTAAATGTAGTTTTGTTTTAGATTTCTTAGTAATAAACATCCTTTTACACCCTATATATGTATGTTTTAGAAAAGATACAATACATGGTAAGAAGCATAGCCTTGTTGGCTGCAAAAAGCAAATATAAGAATTGAATTCTTTTTTTGTAGTGCCCTAATAAATTAGGTTGGGGTGAAAAGAATGTTTCGATTTCTTTGACCATCATGGCGATGTTATTACCTCAAATCTTAAACATGTGCATATGAAAACCGCGGCACAGCACACACTACAAAATAGTATTAAGATTATCATGCCGATGTAGCACATCACCTGATTGTTATATAACTTACTTTATCAGTAGGCTATTTATTATTTATTACAGACAATGTTACAAATATTTGACCAACTGCCACTTCATGTTAAACACTCTCATGCACTCAGAACTAGTGGCAGTAATGAAATAAATAAATAGCCATATCTGCACGCAAAATGAGCTGCATATCATTTATCATCCGTTCATTTTCTCTGTTCATTTCTCCTTCACACGCATGCAGAGAAAGAAAAAAAATCTGCTTGATTGAAAAAGCACATTATATTACATAACATTATAAAATTTTTATTAACTTTTTTCAGCTCAAGAAATATTGAGATCTGTAATTTATGTCAAAAAACGAGTCATATTTGAAAGTCATATTTGACTCTTGAAGAGCGCTAAATAATCTAAATAAAATGTTGTAGTAAAAAATATTATCTACATCTGCAAATTATTAGAATAAAAAATATATATTTATAAAATATTTTCTATTAATGTGTTTAAATAATCATAATTTTAGGCTTTGCTTTGTAAAACTGCACAGCTTTTAACTTAAATATGATCTTACCAAAGACTAATGAATAACTGACAATGGGTCATTGATTTATTAATAAAATATTGAATACTTTAGGTTTAGGTGTCCAAACTCGGCCATGGAGGGCTGGTGTCCTGCTAAATTTAGCTCCAACTTGCTTCAACATACCAGCCAGGACGTTTCTAGTATATCTAGTAGCTTGATTAGCTGGTTCAGGAGTAATTAGGGTTGGAGATAACTCTCCAGGACACCCGCCCTCCAGGACAGAGTTTGGACACCTGCTCTAGGTGGTGCAAACCAACAGGGTGTGCATTATTTTTCAGATTTTTTTAATACACCAGAGTTAATTATTCCACTTATAATATGGTAACTGGTGACACGGTGGTGCAGTGGGTAGCACGATCGCCTCACAGCAAGAAGGTTGCAGGTTCGAGCCTTGGCTGGGTCAGTTGGCATTTCTGGATGGAGTTTCCGTGTTCTTTCTGTGTTTGTGTTGGTTTCCTCCGGGTGCTCCGGTTTCCCCCGCAGTCCAAAGCCATGCAGTATAGAGACATTCGCAAAGCTATAGGGTATACTAAAATTGCCAGTAGTGTATGTGTGTCAATGAGTCATCACCTTGGAATTATAAGGTTCTATCTGCGTTCTGAATGATTTTGAGATATTGAGTTTCAAAGTTTTTGCATTCCATATAGCAAACATTATGTGTGTAACATTTGTTTTTTAAATAAAAAGTCCTAAAATGTAAACAACTTATAAAAAACATTCTATAATGTCAATAAATTGTCATTTAATAAGAATATGTCAATAGCTCAATTTTGACAAAGATGTCAGATAGAACCTTATAATTCTAAGGTGAGAGAGAGTGTGTGGATGTTTCCCAGTGATGGGTTGCTGCTGGAAGAGTAAAACAAATGCTGGATAAGTTAGCGGTTCATTCCGCTGTGGCGACCCCAAGTGAATAAAGGGACAAAGATGAAAAGAAAATGAACGAATTAATGAATTACCACACATAAAGACATTGTGCAAACAGCTTTTGTAACTTGCAGTATACAAATAAGTAAGAACATGATTAGCTTAGTTTAATAAGTTACAATTAACTAAACACTTGACTAATTTATGTCATGACTAATTGATGTCATATCATTTTTTTTTACAGTGTGTGTGTCCTGGTGAAGCACATATTAGTATTCTCAAGATTACACTGAGGAACTGTCAATGAGTTATTACTCGGGCCAGACAGAATCTGCAGACTTTTCTGCTATTACTGCATAAAATTTTGTTAAAAATCTCTGGATTTATGCGAAATGATTTTGATTAAACTTTTATTTAGTGTTTACTATGCAAATCCAATTAGATCCAATTTATTTGGTAAACAAATCAAGTCTCTCATATAATACATCTACTAAAAGACAGAAAATATTACTTTACATACCGTATTTTAAATGAATCACATGAATATCTTCATATTAGTCAATAATATTACTGAAATTAATTAAAAAATTGAATAAATATCAATTTACACACATTTACACAAGTAAATAAGCAGAATCAATGATGAGCTTAAAATTTGCGGAATTCTGTGGAATTCTGTGCACGCAGATTTCGTGTGGGCCTAGTTACTGCTAATGTTTGAGGGAAATGTGTTTTTTCCTTGTACTATGATCAAAGCTTGAACTCGAAAGTTTTGTTGCACATTTTCCAACAAATCGGAATCAAGAATTTCAAGAGACCACTGATTAAGGCTAAAAGTAAAATTAAGTATTCCTGTGAGTAGATTACATACAAAGTGAATGTAAATGCATGAATATAGACAAGATTCTGATGGGCGATGTGAATGAACAACAGTGCAGAACGTGTTATAAAAGCACGGAATTCCCCTCAGTCAAGTCTTCATATAATTCAACTCCAGCAAAATATTTGTTACAGGTGAAAAACATTCTGTGAGTAAACAAGAGAGAGTGACTCTGTCCATTGATTCATTTATTTTGTAATGAAGTCCAGAAGTCCAAATTTTTGTGCAATAATTATCATCTACCTCTGCCCTTTGAGTGCTACCACAGGTGCCTTTGATGATGCAGATTGTTTCACCAACATTGTTGGGGGGAAAACTTGCAAACAGTACAGCACTTCAGTCACACTAGCGATCGAAGATTTATGTAAATTTGACACACTGAACGTATTCTGTACTGCACCACACGGATAAGATTGATTGACAGTGGTTTACTACCAGTCAGAACACAATGCACTAATCAGGACGCAGAATACAATGCGCTGTAAAAAAAAAAAAAAAAAGCATGTCAAATAGACCCAAAAAAATCTGTCAAACCATGAGGCGGTGAAAGGTTAACCGTGTTGTACTGTGAACCCTGCAGTATTAGTACTCTCTTCAGCTATTTTTTAAGCATAATTGATTAACGTTTGTATTCCTTTTTAAATAATTAATACATTCATTCATTAATTTATTAATATTTAAAGGCTCTTAAATGTGCTGTTTTTTTCCTAAGTATTCCCACCAGCTGTCATAATAAACAATAAGGGCACAGTTTTCTGGGATTTTTGTTTATTAGTGTGCTTTTACAGCTCTGTCACTATGAAATGTGAGGCCTTTTTCTTCCCTTCCCAGTTGATCTCAGTATAAAAGCTATATATAAATATAGAGTAACCATGACCAACAGTTACAGTCTGTTAGCCTTATTAACTAACTGTCTGTGTTTTTGTGTGTTTGTGCCTCTGTTACAGGAACATTTCACACCGGAGTGTAAGTTTAAGGAGTGTGTGTTTGAGAACTATTATGTGACGTACTCCTCGATCTTGTACCGTCAAACGCAATCGGGGCGGGCCTGGTACATCGGTATAAACCGGGACGGACAGGTCATGAAGGGAAACCGGGTCAAAAAGACTAAAGGAGCAGCTCACTTCCTGCCCAAGCTTATAGAGGGTATGTCTGTTCATAATAATCAATTGTTAAGATTACAGATTATTATTTTTAAAGCGAAAGAAAAGCTAAAAATAAAAAAAAACATGTTTACACTTAATATTATATATTTTGACACATCACCTATTCCAAAATATTAAAAAAAGATATAATAAAAGCTATTTAATTAAAATATAATTGAATTTAAATTACAGAAGTGACACTTGGAAAGATTTTTTTATCAACCCTTTTATGCTTACTACAGTAGAAAAATTTTATCGAAATAATGTGTTGCTTAAATTTTTTTAGGAACCTAGTACTGTTTGTTTTTGAAAGTGTTTTGCATAAATAGGACATTTTAAGCACCAGCATTTATTTCAAATAGAAATATTTTTTTTGACTAAATGTTTCACTTTAGCCCGTGATGTGGCCTGAAAATAATGTACAGCAAGAAATGCTTCTCTTACTTTTTGTTTTAATTCTAGTACAAATATCTAAAAATTCTTAAATCAAGAAGTATTTTCTAGACAAGAAAAAAATTAAATAAACCCAGCATGCACAGGACATCAACATGACATCAGATTGATGTTGTACCCCAACGTCGTGGGACGTTGCATGTTTGGAAATGAAAATCTGGTTGATGTCAGAAACCAACATCAGGCCGACGTCAATGTCCAACATCGGACAGATATGGCATTTTGCGTGATTTTTCAACGCAACCTAAAAACAATAAAAAACTAACGTCTAATGATGTTACAGTTTAATGTTATGTGGACGTTACCACTCTAATGTCTATCAGACGTTGGATTTTAGTGGTCATACCTGATGAACAAATGCCAATAATTGACGTCAATATGAAGTTGGTTTAAGATGTTGACTCCACATTAGATTTTGGTCACTTTCCAGCACAACCTAAAATCAACCAAATATCAACTACATTTCACATTGTACATTCGTTCATTTTCTCTTCTGCTTTGTCACTTTATTATTCTGGGGTCGCCACAGCGGAATGAACCAGCAACCTTCTTGCTGCAACCTACCCACTGCGCCACCGCATCGCCTCATTTCACGTTGTTATTGGATGTCAAAATAACATTGTCCTTAGATGCTGGCCACCTAAATAGAACTTAATATTAACATCTTATGATGTTGTGTGTCTGCTGGAAAATTAAATATTTTCTTGTTTTAAGTTTTTTTTTCCTTAAAACAAGCTAAATAATCTGCCAATCGGGTGAGCAAAATAATCTTGGTTTTTGTTTTGACACAAGATTATTTTGCTAACCTGATTGGCAAATTATTTAGTTTGTTTTAAGGAAAATTTATCTTAAAACAAGAAAATATTTTTTGCTTGTCTAGAAAATGCTTCTTGGTTTAAGAATTTGTAAATATTTGGATTAGAAACAGGACAATATCAAAGTAAGAAAAGATTTTTTAAAGTCTGAATTATATTGTCTTTCTGACTTTTTATACATGCTTTTTTTGTATATTATGTAAAATCAATATCATTCTATGTTGTTGCTGTTTTTATGTTAGATATTGTTCAATCTTGAGTACTGTATTGTACAGCACTTTGGCACATTTATTGGTTTTAAATGTGCTTCATAACTAAACATGAACTTTTAATATAATTAATGTTTTTTCTTTCACTTTCTACCAGTTTATTACATCCTCATTTAATAAAAGTATAAATTAATTATTTGTTTTCATTAACGTATACAAAAACGCCAGTTCTTATATTTTACATCTTTGAAGTTATGAACATTTTAATACTTAATCTGCACTATTGCTCTGTATATTTTATTATTTCTCTTGTTGTTTTATTGCTCTTGTTGATTGTACGGTGTCCTTGAGTTGCTAGAAAGGCGCCTTTAAATAAAATGTATTATTATTATATTATTATTAACAGTTTTTTTCTTCTGTATGATGAAAGTCAGTGAGATTCAAAACCCCATACCACTGACTTCCATTGACTGTTAGCACAAAAAAAATTAAATTTCTTCCTTTGCATTCTGCTTTATTAAAAAAAAAAAAAAATTTGATACAATATGAGTGAAAATTAGGGTTGGCCTACATTTTTTTGTTTGAAGAACCATAAACCAAATATCATTGAGAACCGTGGGTCAAAGATAAATATACCAAACTATATTACATTAAAGTTGCCATGCTTCATCTCACAATTTAGTTAATAATGTAAGGTAATAATTACTTATTGCAATAAAAACCTAAACAATGCTGCATACACTAGTCAAGCAGAATCAGCCTTTGACTTGATTTGTTCACTGAAGTCTCGGTATTGTCCTCTATCCATCAGGTGACAGTACTGTATGTACATTTAAACTAAATTGGAGCATTGAAATTGAAACATTTGATCTCCTCTAGATTTTTGGTAGCTTAACAATAAAACAAACAAATAAAAGGTTACATTAAATTTGAAATTACAGTCTCTAAATCATCCCGATCATTCTCCCTCTCCTTTTGGATGGAATGGCGGGCCAAATCAAAGGTTTCCATGGGCCAACTTTGACCCACAGGCCCGAGTTTGGGAATCTCTAGTGTAAATGAAACCAATAGTCTAAATGATGACAAAATTCTCATTTTTTTAACATTATTTTTTCCTCTTCTCTCTATAGTTGCCATGTACAGGGAGCCATCGCTACATGACGTTGCAGAGCAAAGCCCGCCTCGGAAAACGGCCAAAACGTCAGACTCACCTGTCCATAAAAACAGCAAGAAAGAGCATCTGCTGACAGTCCCTACAGCATCCTAGCGGCAGGAGAAATGCTTCATTTGCACAGACACGCCATGAACGCCAGCAGTGGCACTGGAGGTTTGGTCCCTCCACCGATTCTCAGACCTTACCAACAATGCATCAGGGCTCAAAAGACCCTCGCCAACAGGTCTAACGCTCACCGCACCTCCTTTTTGGTCTCTTCCGCTTCCGTAATCAAGGGAAAATATTGAGCAATAATAACTGGAATGGTCTGGGGTCACACTGCAACGAGACGCTATTACAAGAACCGCAACACTCGAAGGAAACAATCTTTGTCTTCCTTTTTTTAGTATTTCAACAAGAAACACTTCCTCTTTGTGAAGCAATTCGTGCTTGACATTTAAACCCTTCCATTTCCTTTTGTTCAGGCGTTCATAGATCCCCTAAATCTCTTTTTGACCATTTCTAAGCCTTGTTTGTAATCTACTTTCCTTTTTCTACCTCTTCTGCACTTTGATTAGCTTGAAACATAGAGGCCATTTTCCACTTCACAACACAGGAAAAGCCCTGCTTACTCTCCCAGGGAACATTAAAGATGCACACACACACACACACACACACACACACACACACACACACACACAAACACACACATACAAACAAACACAAAGCAAATAACTAAATAAATAAAACTTTCTCTCTTCTTAGGATGATGATGATGTTAGAAGTCATTCGACCTTAGGCAGTGCAGACCTCCTCTGTGTAGGGTGAACGTGTGTGTGTGTGTGTGAGTGCTGAACAGTAATACAACATAATTTGTAAGATGAGTCATAACAGAGGGAGCAGGGTGGCATTATTGTTTTCTTTTGTTATGATAAGTTGTTGTTTTCCTCATTGCAATATGCCCAGAGAGCAATATCGGTACGGCGCGCTCTTTTTAGGAAGTGTGTGTTGCTTTAGAGCAGGGGTTTTACAAAGTAGATATGCTGACTACTGAGGCTGCAAGTTTCCCAAAGTTCGTGTCCCTGCATTCAATTTTATTCTATTACATTTGCCTGAAAGCAAAGGCACTTCACCCAGCCAAATGAAACAACGCAAGTGCTGAAAAGGTCCAATTCGGCTTCATTTTCTTCTGATGAAACTGGGGAAATCACACCCAGAGGAGCTCATAGGGAGTCATTTTGGGAAAACCTTTGCACAGAGAGTCCAAAAAGGCCTGCAACTTCTCACTTAGTTATTTGAGGTATTGTAAATGAAAATGTATTTTAAGCGCTGTAAGGAACACCTCGCACCTTGTTATAATATACCTCTCAGTACATTTTCATGCGTACCTCCTGCATTGTTAAAATATGATCCACTACCATTCAAAACCTACCTTTTGGGGGTGGTAAGATGTTTTTAAATATATGTTTTTAATCAACATTTTCTACATTGATTTAATAAAATATATACAAAAAATAAAGAATATATTATCAGTAAAATATATATTATAAATTGTCATTTATTCCTGTCACATGATCCTTCCAAAATAATTTTAATATGCTAATTTGGTGATCTACCAAATATCACCTTTTTTTTTCATTATTAACGTTAAAAATGAATATGTTGCCTAATATTTCAACACAATCTCACGGCAGTTTGTAACTTTTTCATTTGGTGGCTAAATCGTATGAATTTATACAATCTCATTTGTACAATTTAGTACAATTTGCTCATCCCCCATTGATGGTTGGGTTTAGCGGTGGGGTTGGGTCGGGTGTCACGCCTCTTTTTTAAAATCGTACAACAATGTTGGTATGACTCGGCTCATACAAATCCATACAAATAAACCACTAAACTGACGAAACGTAAAATAGTTACGATTCCTCCTGAGATCAGGCTGAATATTTCTGTGAAAACTATGGTACATTTTTTTAGGATTCTTTAATGAATAGAAATTTTAAAATTGTTCAATACTAATTTACTGAAATTTATTTTGAAAGCACTTTTAATTAATTTAATGTGTTATTACTAAATCAAAGTAATAAAATCTCAGTTTAAAGAAAATATATATTCTTTATAGAACATTTTTTCCACTGTCACTTCACTCCACCAATAGCTGGAGTGTGGTGAGCGCACTGGTGCCGTTGTCCTGTGGCAGCCGTCGCATCATCCAAGTGGATGCTGCACACTGGTGGTAATGTGGAGAGACCCCTCTCATGATTGTGAAGCGCTTTGGGTGTATAGCCATACACAATAAATGCGCTATATAAATACACATTACATTAATGTACATTACAATACATTACAATACCCAATGAGAGTGATTTTGATTATTTTAGCAGGAGTTATTTTTAGCCAGAATATCACTTTTTCTTGCCGGTTATATCATCACAGTTTTATCAAGTGCCGAGCTTCAACAAAATGAAGAAAAACAAATCTAACTTAACCTTTACTTAGCCCTAAAATTACCCTTTACTCACTAAACTGTAAAAATTCTTTCATGTTGTCCCAACACAAATTGATTAAGTTAACTGAAAAGTGGATTGAACGTAAAACAGTGAAATTGTCCCCCAAAAATCTCAAGAATTGTGTTTTTCAGCTCAATTTAAGCTTAAGTAGTTTAAGCAAGCAGCAAAAATATTTTTGAGTGTACTTACCTTTAATTGGTTTCAAACTCTCTTTTGAACGCCAAAGATTTTTTTTACAGTACAAGGCAACTTGCTGCAGAGCTTTTTTGAGTTGACTCAACTTTCAGTCAAGTACAGTAATCGGGTTGAAAGATGAGTCAACCTAAAAAAGCTCTGCAGCAAGTTGCCCTACATTTTTGAGTTGAGTCAAGTTGAGTTGAGTTACAGTGTAGTAGTTGTAACAAAAGCAAGAAAAAAGTACAGAACTCAATGATGTCCAGCTTTCTTTAAAATATCTTCTTTTGTGTTCAACAGACTAAAGGAATTTATGAAGGTTTAGAACAAGTGAAGGATGAGTAAATGATGACCATATTTTCAGGTTTGTCTCTAGGTTGTTGTTTTCTGGTAAATTAAGATTTTTGATCAATATCGTCTAAATCTATGCTTTTTTATGTATTTAATGTATTATTACTGAATCAAAGAAATAATATCTATATTTAAATAAAATATATATTCTATATATAAACTATCTTTCAAAAATGTTTTTGAGTATTTTAGCAGGAGTTAAATTTTTAGTTCAAATAATTTTTGTCTTTATTAGTCAGAATATCACTTTCCCCTGCTGTTTATATCATGACTGTATCAAGTGCCGAGCTTGAACAAAGTACAGAAAAAAATCTAACTTTTCTCCTGCTGAGTTGAATCATTTCTCATACCATGCACCTGGTGTTGAGGAAATGATGTCTGCGATAATTATAGATTCATTCCCCTGCAGCAAAGCATTACTGGGAGAAACAATGTTATTAAGACCAAGTGGAAAAATCATTGAACGTTCAGACGATTGGAACATTTGCAAAAAATTCTTCCACATTTTTGATCAGTATCAAAAAAAAGTCAATCTTTTCCAGATTACAGTTTCCTTACTGCAAATAACAGCACCCGCAGGTACTTTCCAGAAGTTGAGTCTGCGTTTAACATCCCAAGATTGTTTTTCAGAATCAAAATACATCTCGTAGCTCCTGGGTACACATCATTACAAGTTTTCCTCATAAACAATAATTTGTTTTGTAGTTTTGCAAGTAAACAATGCTCATCTCAGACTCTAGATCTAGTCTTAAAAAGGATAGTCCACCCAAAAATTATAAGCTTCAATCCTGTATATAAATTTCTTCTTTTGAACACGCACAAAAAAAGTTATTTTGAAGAATGTTGACGATTTACAGTTTGATTCATCTATCTTATCTGAAGGGCTATGGTTTTACAGAATAAAAAGCCGTCTGATACACTATAGAGTTAAGAATTACCAGTTAAATGCCTGACTGAAAGTAAATCCTGCAAGCCAAACTGCAAAGGTTAAATAAACGATAAAGCCAATGTCGTATGCAGTCACAACTGTGCTTTGATTAGCATCCCATGGTTTATTCATCCGGTTTAATCACGATTAGACCATGAAATTAATAGTTTCTTGCTTCCACTATTGTCCTCTTCTTCTGTTAAATGTCACACTAGGGCTTAAAACCTGTCTGAATGGAAGTGTTCCTTTATTTGTAAGGGCTCTGTAATCCAACAAAAGATATCACTACGTCAAATATCACTACAAGTTTAATCGCCACTAAAATTATAATTATAGCATCATAAGGGTTTGCTTTGGGTCAGTTTGAGTTGATTGCGAGTGTCCGTAATGTTAGAGAAAGGAGAATTAGCATCTTTTTTATTTTACTTTGCTGTGATGTATGCTCATGAGGGCCAGATCGGGTGGTTTAATAATAATTTTAATGAAACCACTCTCTGCGCACGGCTAAGTGCTTCTGTCTCAATTTCCCTGCTATTTTTCAGCCATAAACACAGAGGCCAGAAGATGAAAGCTAAGGGCTAATGCTTTTCAGAAGAGCCAAGCCATTAAAACACTGTATGTTTATGCAGAGATGACCTTGTAAGCTGCAAATGATACATTTTGTTTCCTTGTTGTGTTTCTTATATGTCCTTTTTTATTGTCATCGTGTCAGGTATGCGTATGTCTCTCAATGCATTCATCTAATCATTTTTATTTGCATGTGTACCAGATTCTCTTAAATGATACAGTCATTAAGTAATCTAGTTATGAGTTAGTCTGCGCAATTATAATTTGTTTTTAGCAGACAATTCACAATGGGATCTTGCTTTGCCAAGTCTACGCTGAAATATCGGCTGGTAAATTATACATATTACACATTAAATGTATTGCCAAAGCAGTAATATGAACAATGTGTAATTACAGCACTTACTGCAAATGATTACAAACTAAGTATGAATAATTCATCAGTTTTACTCAGTCCTTAATTAAACAATTAAAAGTAACACAAATACTGTGATCGTTACACAGTTTAAAGCTTCACTGATTGCCTGCTTTCCTGCACTGCAGGAGTGGGGTTGATCCATGTTGCATGTTCACTCCCTTTTTTATTGATCTGCTGTCGATAAATGATTTAAAAACAGATGCTACTTTCTCCCTAGCTTATTTCAAATGGATTAAACAACACAGATGTATTGGTTTTGCGCAGAGAAGCAACAAATATCTTTTTTTTATTGCAGTTAATGCTTTTAAATTGAGTCGAGATATCAATAATCCAAACAAACCTAAAAACCTAGCAATTTTCGCAACATTGCTGAACGTTCAGCTCTGATTTTAAAGTGAGTTCACCCCAAGATTAACCTTTACTCACTGTACTGTAAAACATGCAGGGTTTCACCCAATTTATTCATGTTCTCCCAACTCAAATCAATGAAGTTGACTAAAAAGAATTTTGAATTGAATATAAAACAGTTAAGTTGTCCCCCGAAAATCTCAAGAATTGTGTTGATTCAGCTCAATTTAAATAGATCATTTGAACAAGCAGCAAACATATTTTGAGTGTATTTCAATTCCTTCAATTGGTTTCAAAGCTTCTTTTTTTTTTTTTGAACACTTATTTTAAAGAATGTTGTAAACCGGTAACAATTGACTTGTAAACAAAAGTAGGGAAAAAATAATGTGGAACTCAGTGATTTCCAGCTTTCTTCAAAGTATCTTCTTT